TACACTGATTTTTTTTAAAGTCCGGAATTTCTTTAAAATCAAAGTGGGGTGTTACAGTTGTAGTGTCAACGGTACAGTTTGTCTTGACTGATAGTTGTACTAGTACATTTATGTATTGAACATGATCTCAGAGAGGAGAAATTCGTTTTATACTGATCGTCGTAAATGAACTAGGCCTCGGTTAATTACTGCGTTCTCTTAACCCGTTAGATATTAAACAAACATATAAATGCAGTATATATTATTTTGATTCATATGGGTGATGTTTAGTGAACTGGATCAATAGTTCTACTGTCTTGGGTAATATTGTTGCATGTATGATGTGTTGTTAATTAGGATATTTACGGTTACTATGTACGTTTAGTTTGATGATGTATTAGGAGTGAGTTCATGAAGGATTATTATGCTAAACCTTGCAGGTGGATTAAATTTCGTCAAAGTAAGAATGTGATTAACGAGCGCTATCTTCGGTGAAATAATAATAAATTAATTAATTCTTGATTATCATTAATCGAGTTAATTAATAGGCATTATATCTTAAATATGGGGAGATAATTCTAGTAATTATTATTGGAGTCTCAACTCTAAATTGGGTTAGGAAAATGGAGTGTAATAATATTATGTTAGTGACCCATAATTTTATTTAATTAATTAGAGGAGTGGACTTGGCCCACAGTTAGTCTAATTAATTAAGGAGCCCAATTCCTAATCTCCTAAGGGTCCCTACTGTAGCTCTATATACACCATTAGGCCCATGGAAAAGAGAAAAAGAGACCATAATTCTCCTACGTGATATATACATCACACGCCCCTTTCTCTCTCTCTCTCTAGATTTTTGTTCGAGCTTTATCTTATTCTTGTTGCTCCACCGATACAACGAGAAAAGGTGTTTGAGTAATACATTAGAAGATCCCGAGGTTATTGAGATACGTATATTCATCAACCCCGTGATCAACCTGAGCAGACGATCCACGACCTGAAGTTGAGGACCGCCGACCCCAGCCGCCGCGACCCAGCCGGACGACGCCGACAGTCGCGACGTGCCAGCCGTGAGCTGCACGCGCCACCCGGAGCTGCCCGGGACTCGCGACCCGGTCCCGCGACACGACCAGCCCGACACAACCGACCCGTTCGTGATCCCATCTTGTTCATGTGCTTATCACGGTCAATTCAAGATCAGCAAGATTGCCAAAATTTTAAGACGTAAGTTTTCTACGTCAAACCTTTAGATCCGTTGCACATAGGTTTTACGTTTGCTATTGAATTCGTGATTTGTACATAATGAGATCCTTATAGATCTCAACAGTTTTAGCCAGCGGACTGCATTAGCTGTTTTGACCAGCTGATTGAGTTAGCGTTTGCAAAAAAGTGTGGTAAAATTAGTTATTTTCAATTAGCTGTTAATGTGTAAAATTACTTATAGGGGCATCAACATATTTGATTATTCTTATTTATGTCGAGCTTATATTTATTTAGGAAATAAAAGTAAATAATATTTTAAATATTTATTAAAGTGATTTAAAATAAAAATATAAACAATAATAATATAAAAAAGAATTCTTAATTAAATAAATAAGTTCACGTCATATAAACTAAGCCAATAATAAGTCATCACTAATTAAAAAGATAATTGTGAGTCAATTGCAATATTTGTTATTACAATTGAAAAACAAAAAAAAAAACAAGACTAATGCCTCTAACCAGTTTTCCACTTGCTATTTTTCAAAAACATACGAGAAAAAGAAATGTAAGAGTAGGTTTTTTCCTTTACAATTTTTCTTATTCCACAAAGGTTGCAAGCATAAAGGAGAAATAAGAAGAGCAATTATGAAATTATATTTATTGACTCAAAAGCCAAAGTGTAAAACGCTCCAAATCTCAGCGGTTTCCTTTTTTAGCAGTTGGAGCAAAAAAAGCTGACCTTAAAAGCTAATTACCAAATATATTTTTGGTTGGATGGAAGAAAGTCAAAACGCTATTATACAGAAAAAGATCTAAAAAATGGCAAAACGCCATTTTACCAAACAAGGCCAATTATCTTTCCTCAAATCCCACTCAAGACTTAGTGACCGCGTCGCGACGCGCGGTCAAATTTTGGCGCCGTTGCCAGGGAGTGGCGTTATTTAATTGTGATTTATATGTACTAATTGAACTATTATTATTATTTTTTTTGGATTTTATTTTTATCATCCTTTACCCCTCCTCTTTTTCTTTATTTTTTGTTTACTTGCAGAATATTGGGTGTCCCTATACTCTGCTGGACAGAATTGTTCGCCCCATACTCGCGAGATTACCTAATCTTTGGGCGCTTTTGATCGAGTTTTGCGCAACTTTTCGACATGGCAGCCTCTTATCACGACTTTTATACCCACCAAGCACCTTACAAGTATAAGAAGGAGATACGAAGCCCGTGGAGTGGAAATTGAGGCGTAAGAGGACCTAGTGGTTGGCGAAGGAACGAGGAAGACTACTTCTATACCGATGAGTATGGATATCGCTTGAGAGAGCACTCAGACTCTTTGTATGGGTACTCCGAGCCATTATATGAGAGACATCCCAGCCCATCGCTCGAGGATATGATAGAGGAATTCAAGTTGAACACGTTGAAATTTCACCAAGAGTACTGCGAGCCATTAGTTGAAAGAGATCCTGGTCCGTCACTTGAGGATATGATGATGGAGTTGACGACTAACACCCTTAACTTTCAGCAAAGTGTTGAGACGAGCCTCGAGAGCCAAGGGATGCGCATAAGGAATTTGCAAGGCCAAATGAGCCAATTGGCGGAACAAATGGACCGACTAGTGTGTCGGATCAAAAATATTTCAATGAGTTCAAGCGTCATACAATCGTGCAGCGAAGACCTCGAGGAACATGAAGAGTGCACAAATGAGTCGGAGAACGAGAAAACCCCGAATATCGAGAAGAAGGAGAGCGAAAAAGAGAACCAATTTGCAGAATATGGGGGTGAGCAGCAGAATGTGGGGATACCCCATACTCGACCTGCTGGAGCCAAAAAGCGTACCGTTCTCCCCGCTCTTCTTCTGATAGAAGCTGAACCATTGCTGATCTTTTCTAATATGAAGTGGGTGTTGAGTAAGGATGAACTGAAGCATGTCTTGGGTCTTGATATACCTTCTCTTGAGATGATCAAGCACGACGAAAGGTGTAAGTGGGAGTTTAATGAGACGATGACCGTGATTCAGCACGGGCTGCTACATAGTCTTGAGGAACTAGCGTCATGGAGGAAAGATCCGGTGAAGCACCCAACACCGGAAAGAGGGGATTTCGCCAAAAATGGGGCCGTGAGATTTGTGGCTCGCTTGAGGCCGCCTCCGAAGCCGCCATGGATCCTGTGATGAAAGAGAGCAATAAGTCGGGCCAACGACAATAAAAAGAGGCGCTTATTGGGAGGCAACCCAATGGTGTGCATGGTTCGGCGACCTTCTTTGCATTTACTAAGGTGAACTCGTTTCTTTTACCTCCATTTTTGTGCTTTTGTGTTTATTTGAGTGTCAATGATATATGCAAACTCTAAGTTTGGGGAGGTGGTTCTTGGTGAGCATTCATGTTTTATTATGTGACTATATTTTTTGCCCCTTAGAGTTTGGGTTCTTAGATTATTGCATGATATTTGATTGTCGTGTGT